CATGCTAATATAGCAGTGATTGGTAAGTGTCATTCAACATGGGTGGTATCCTGAGAGGGGAAATCCTTGGCCATCATTAGTTTATTTGGTAGTGCATCTCAATGATTATGGTTACTGTAACCATAATAATACCAACCATTATGTTTTTCAATAAAATGAAAACAAATTATCTGAGCAATAAACAAATAAATTATACTTCCCAAGTATATGAGCTCAACTACATGGTTCCCATTCTGCCATTGTCATGTACACCAAGTTTGTGACAGTTAGAGAAAGCATGTTCCTTGTTACTAAAGAACAGAGGAAGGGAAAAACAGAGGAAAGTGAACATAATAATAGTAACAGATAATAGAAAATTGATAACTATGAGACTCGATCTGGCTCAAGGAGTAATTCTTGAACATGAAGTCACACATCTCATAAATGGATGAGAAAAATCATACCATTGGGAAATAAAATGTGAACCTGCACCACTTACACATAACATGAGTGGTATGGGTTCACTAAATCCTAAGAAAAGAGGCACCTAGAACTCTCCAAATAGAATTCTTAATATTAAACAACAGTGCCTTCTTGTATCCATGTTATGACTCTTAGACCCTAATTACCCTCAGTGTAGGATTCTAAAACACCCTAAAATAGCCATTACAACTAGAAAATCCCTGAAAAACAGAAGCCAAATCTACACTCACTAGGAGTGGTAATGAGATTTAGCTTGCTCTCTTTTTTCATAAGTAGGAAGAGTGTTGGTTTAAACCCAAAGCAGGAATGCCCTTAAAGTTTTCTGAACTGTACGCTTGTATTTTCTTCTACTGGTCCAACTAAGAGTACTGTAAGAGCTGGGTTATCCATCTCCAAGTTGGACTGAGCCTTCCTAAATCTATGGGTTGAACCAAAGTGCGCTGAAGCTAGATTCAGCTAAAACATGAACAGAATTAAACTCCAACAAGTTGCAACCCATTGAATCAATGTGTATATGGTTAAAAATACACAGTGGTATTCCGCCAAGGTGCCTTGCTGGCCGAAAATGCTGATTTATGGTTAGAAGAGCCTGCGGCTGATAGGGTCAGAGTTGGACCACATTGTAGCATCCATTTAGGAACATTAACCATTTTATTTTGGGAGTAATTGTTGGCCTTGAGCTTTCCATTTATGATTTCTTGATCCACTTCCTTGAGGCATCTCAAAGTTTAAAACTGGCTGCTAATGTGGGACACAGACATAATGATATATTGACATGCCAACAGGGAAAATCATCAAAATTAAAACACAAGGCATCATGGAGACCACAGAAAAAGCATATATTTTCTATTTGTTAATATAACTTTACAGGTTGATATCTATTATGTATAATTTAAATAATGATTGCTGCATTTTGTGAAAGCACTTCAAGTCAATATCAGTTATTCACATCATACTAGGGGACAGTCTGGTGCATGAGGCACCCACCAATAAGGGTCTAGGAGGGCCGATCTGCATATTTTTATCCGTGCAAGTAAAGAGGTTGTTTCTATTACTCAACTTCTGGTCACTTGGGTAAGAAAAAGAGCAATCCAAGTGTAGGTCCAAGACTTGCCCTCATGTTCACGTCATACTAAGTTGAAAACCAAAATGCATATATTGTGCCAATACTCAATTTACCTGGAAGCTTTAGGTCTATGTTATAAGCATCCAACATTAATACGAGTGCAGATGACATGTGCCCTAATACATTCTGAAATTTCTGATGTATGTTGGTGAGTTCAAACAAGTTTAGTGCTTGACACAAACAAAACATGGATAGAACAAGCATTATCTATGAAATCTTACGAAATAATAATAATGCTTTGCAGTGTTCTTTTGCAGACATCTTATGAAATTCTTACTCCAAGCAACATGCCAAGGCAAAATTCACCTCAAGTCGCCTTCTACTTAACCAAGCTAAGGTAATGGAGCTCATGAAGTTGCAGTACTTGTCGAATATCGAGTTATTATTTATGTGCTGAAAGCCAAAGCTACATTAAAAAAAAAAATTCATCGTTGTATCGACCAAAGTAAAGTTAGTAGGTCAAGTCATCAAAAGAATTGGAGGAAATATGAACGGATAAACATTAAATCATCATATAAGTTGACAATCATCTATATTTAAAGCATAATCAAGCAAAAGAGTGCCGATAACATTAACATGTTAGGCTAACATTAAGAATGAAAGAAAATCATCCACGTTTAGGAAATTATGGAGAAAAATTAATATTGAGGAAAAGCGGAAAACACTCCAAATGATCCTATTACTAAATATTTTTAAGGAATTGAAATACATCATAAGCAAAAAGCAACAACAATAATGCATGTCCAAGGGTGGAAGTAGTTAATGACACATACAATATCAGTAGGTTTGTTCTGATTATACTCCTTATTCTTTGTTTCAACGACCTTCTCCAACATTTCCTGATCCCAATCCTCCATTGTTCCTACACCACATGAAAACCAAATTAGCCCAAAAATATATGTACATACTAATATTTCAATTCTTCTTAATACCCAATATCCTAAACCATAGTGCACAACAATCCTTGCAGATTAATGGAACATTCTCACTTTGTCTATTAACATGATAATTTTTTGGCAACTATCCTTTTTTTCCACCTCAAAATCACACATCCCAAAAGTTTAAAGAAACCATCCCTTTGACCTTCTAACCTTTTCTAAGTAACTATTACAACTCTAACATCAACAACTAAGCAATTAATCAATGTCTTTTTATTCGTTAAATTTAGTGATGTACCTCCATTCTTTACCAATTCATCTTAGATATAAGACCTAGAACATTTCAGAGCTCTTAAGGTACAAGTCTTACATTTAGATCTTGAAAGTTGGGTTGGAGGGTTATTAGAACTCTACAAGATAAATGGTTACACAAAAATATTCTCTCACAAAAGATATAAATAAAAAATAAAGCAAATAAAGAGTTAAGTCATGTTGTGAGGGTTCTTTACCACTGAAAGATAATAGAAAGTAGTTAATAATGAGTGCCTGAACTGAACAAACTATGGACAAATAGGCAGAAGGTCAGATATGTACTATGATTTAAAACCTAAAAAATTGAAAGTAGCAGTGCTCCATTCCTGACCTTGATCACGATCACGCTGATCGCTGTACAGATCGATCTTCTCACCCTTCCTCTGAACATTTAGGTCATGTGAGAACTTGCACTTGAAACCTTTCTGACATTGCCCGACCTTGAAGAACTCGCACAGTATCGACTTGGGGTCGACACCTAAGCCAGAAGACCAATATTCACTTATCAGAAATACAATAACAATCAATTGAACGACCCTCAATGACTTAATTAATCTAAATGTTGGTGCTTCAAAAAGAAGAATATCACATACCAACTGGGACCTTAGGCTGGCTGACGGCAATCTTGAACAGATCGTTCAGCTCCTTCTCTCGGGCCTTATCTTCTTCCTTCTTCTTCTGCTCTTGCATCAAACAATACATTGACCAACAAAGTATATTATAGATTTCGCTTTTCTCCATTGGAAGAAAGGGTGATAGAGATCGAGAGAAAGAGAGAGAGGACGGACCTTGGCGGCGATCTTGGAGGAATCAGGTTTGGGCTGGACGGATTGCTGCAGGCTCTGGACGTACTTTTGAACATTCTTGCTCTTGTTCTTGTTCTTGAGCCCGAACGTCTTGTCCTCCACGACCTTCTGCTTCTTGGCGAGCTCCGACTTGGACGGCTGGCCCTTCGGCGGCATCGGCGGCGAAGTCTACTGAGCTGCGTTTGAAATCAAACGAGGAAGAGAGGCTATCGAGGGAGCGATGCCCCTCTAGATCGACGGGAAAAGGAAAACGAGAAGGGAATAGGGCTTGAGTCCGTACAGTCGGCTGCCTCGTTTGCTGTGGATTTCGGCAATCGGGTGTTGCGGTGGAACGCCTGGTGTTATCGATGCCAATGAGAAGGTTCGTGGGGGAAGTCCAACTACAAAACGGGCCAAGCCCAAATTATGTTCTTGGGCTTAATAAGTATTTCGTTTCCGGGTTTACATGTCTACCCTTATAAATCTTGAGGAGAGGATAATTGATCCTTACAAATCTAACGCATAGAAATCCTTAATATTTGTTTACTTTTAAAAATATATTTTTAAATAGTTCAAAAGAATATTGATGTCAAATAAAGTTATATATATATATATATATATATAATTTATTTATTTATGTATTCTTAAGTTTTACTGAGAAATATAAATAATTTAAGGTGAATTCAGAGCCTTTCTTTTTATTTTTTCGCGTGCAGTTTTTCTATTTTGATTTTTCTTATAGAGCATCTCTTTTTTTTTTCGATCAGAGAAAAGTACTCTCCTTTGTCACTTATCTTATATTATTTATATATAAAACTAGCTTAGATAGGCCCTTCAAATTTTAATATTGTTAATATATACATTTAAAAGGACAAGGTTAATCTATATGACCCTCATCAATGTATGGACTCACGAGATTCCAATCTATCTAGTCTTACCCCCTTCCCTGTATGCCAAGTTATTTCGGCAAGTCCTAATACGACACGTTGCCCTACGTATTTTCTATGTATATATTTATAATAATAAATAAGAATGACAAAGACGTAGTAACAATTATAGTATGAAATCCCTCTAGATGATATCTATCAAGGATGGGTCAAATAGGTTAAAAAAGTTGAGACATAGTCCAATAACCATCGTTAATGACGTCTCTAACCATAAGAATCATCTTTATGGTAACATACTGTATTGAGATTTGTCCTCGTTAAGAACTTTGAAATCGTGTAGGAACAATGTATGACTGTGATTAGAATCTATTACAAATGTTCCAAATTCTCATTTCTTTTTCTTTCTACTCGTTCCCAATCTATTATTACCTGAAAATATTTCTATATTAATTGATGAATATATGGAGTGAAATGGTAAACCGTATATATATATTTTTATTTATTTATTTTTTGAGCTGAAATCAAAATCATCTAAAATCTATTAGGTCCAAATTGGACTGAACCTAAATTATCCGATCCTGAACCCGAGATCAGGGTTACAGGTAATTAATTAGTAAGCAAGTGCAAAAATTTCACGTGTGATTCTGTGTCTTATTATTATTCCTCAATTAAAGGCGCTACGTAGTGGAATTCTATTTGCAGATGACGATGCAAAACTGCTTCTTCCATCACCCCCCGATTCACGTCCTGTTGGAGTTCTCGCAGTGGAAGCGCCGCCAGAAATCCCTTGATGTATTCTTTGCAGCAGATGACACCTTCACACACGGCCTCTCCGTCTGTGTAAGCCCCTCCACCCTGTCGAACGTCTTGTCTGCATTCATCTGAGTCTCCCGCTTCAACGCTCCGCTTATAGATCATACTCTGCCTGTCGAACTTCAGAATGTATGCTTGATTGCATCCCTCGAAGAGTCTCTCCCCGAAGGTGTCGACCAGATAGATGGCATCGCCTTCGATCCTGAGGACGAAGAAGTGATCGTTCCAGCTCGCAATGTATATCCTTTCTTCCGACGGTGAACTACGCAGGAGCTCATCCCAAATGTTGTCGAACGACATCGTCCCTTGCAGAAAGTGTAGGCTGTCGGGCGTGTCGTCGAGGCCGAAGAATCCTACGTAGGACATCGTCTTGTTCTCTGTCAGCGGCCGGACTTTTGCTTCCAGTACCGTGTCGAGGTCGAAATGCTGATCCGAGAATTTCTCCTTGTGGGCCTCATCCGCACAAAGCTTTCTCCACTCCAGGGATCCTTGATGTATCAGTTCGTCGAACTGACACCGCAGTGGCAGAGCTTTCGGGTTGTGATGCAGCCAATCGGCGATGACGACGGCGAGCACCGTACAGGCACTCTCACCTGCGGCCTTCTGGCTACGCTGATCGATGGATGCAAGAAAGACGTCGGCGACGAGCTCCATCCCCTCGTCTCTGCTGCTTAATCTTCTTCTCTCCCACACGCCGACCTCGAAAGTTCCTTCATCTTCGAATCCTCGATCTCGAGGTTTCTCCTCACGCTGCAGCAACGCAGACTCGGTGCTCGACTGTTGGTGCCGCTCGAGATCGATATCGTCACCTCCAACATCACTGCATGATTTGTTCAGAAGTGGCTCTCCTTTCGGGTGCTTTGTGGCTTTGAAGCTGAGTCTCGTCTTGTTCGACAGGAGCCTAACAAGGGAAGGTTGTCGTTTGACTGATGTCTGCAGATTTTGTTCTTCCTCCTCGTGATCTTCGAGCTTTCCAGGCAACTCAGCACCGAGGAGGATGTTAGCAGTGGCTATTCCACTATAACTAAATTCATGCTCATCTTCTGAGGAAGAATTCCCTAACGATGGATGTATCATTCGATTGCTTGAGAATTCAGTACCATAGTTTCGCCGCAACCCCACACACGACAAGGCACGCGAGCTAAGAGCTCGTGGCCGCGCGAAATCCATGCTGCCTTTTATGTTGAGCTCCACGACATGCAGTTCAACCTGCGCAAATATGGGATACCTCAAATTGTTGAATCGAGAATAAAGAAGAACACAACATTAATTACCTTCAGCACAATTTCCGCAGTCTGGTCCTTAATCTTGCATCTGATTGGGATGCTAATTGTTTTCTTGTGATTTGGAGAGGCGTACTCGGCAATGTCTATCTTGGTTTCTCCGTACACCGTAGACTTACCGTTCGAGTTATTATCAGATTCCTGCAAGCATTTCAGATCAAATTAAATGCATGATATTTGTTGTCACATGACACATAACATGGTTGACTTACTTGAACTTGTAGATTGACAATCCAACTCTTGTAACTATGGGAATTCATCCTCTTAAGCTTGCAGATGCAGTTGAATTCTTCGTTCCAAATCACGGTGCCGTCCGGTCTCATGTGCTGCTTGGAAGTGCAGTTCTTCTTCGACCCCCGGCGCAGGAAACCGACTTTTCTTCCACTTCCTCTCCATTCTATTTCCACCATCAAACTGCTCTTGCCGCAATCCCCCAGCTTCTCCACTGGTATATTCTTGAGTTCATGGATGAGTAGGATTAGCTTAAAGCTCATGGCGGAAGGAAATCTTTGGCTCTGTTGAAATGCTTCTTCAAGCAGATGGAGAAGAAAGGTCTTTAGAACTGGGATTTGGGTTCCTTTGGGACATTAAGGCTTTTGTAATTATGTCGGATTTGGGTTGTTCTAAGTCAACTGCTTCTCGTGTAAGCAAAGATTGCCTTGTTCAGAAGATTGACTTGTTCGGCCACAGCCGTCCTGCTTCCTTCAAACTTCCTTATCCTCTTCACTGTTGTGTCTTATTTTTTATCGCATGCCCTTGATGACAATATTATCATTTGGACATGCTATTATTTAGATGATTGACATTAAAGACCTTTGAGTATGCTAATTGCTTCGAAATCAAACTGGTGTGTAGTCTAAACTTTTAGCTTCTTTCCATGATATTTGTTGCCTTCCATCATAGCTGAAACTGTTAACTAGTTAGTAGCATTCGACTAATTGTCCGGTCCTATAATCCAACAGGCAAATGAACTCTAAACCACATTAATATCTTACAAACAATTTCACATATATTTCTATAAATGGCTAATTTTTTTTGTATTTACCCTTTTAAATTTTAGTTCAAAATAAATGCACTAAAGGGTGTAATTTTTTAGAGAATTCACTATCGACCATGATTAACAGGAATTAGCTTGAGTTCTACTGGATGGATTAGGATAGAAATGACATAAATAATAGTGTGATTTTTCTTTTAAAAAATTCAGTTTTTTCCTCAAAATGTGCCCCTATTTTTATTTTAGATATTACTATTTGCAACTCCCTTCTTTTTATTTACAATTCCATGCTAAGAATTTTGAATATTCTTAAGTTACCCCTTCATAGACATATATGATCTCAATTTATAATTTATTGTAATAAAATATTTTTACTCCTTATCTATAATCTCATTTTCTTATCTTTATCATCATCTTCTTTGTCTCCTCCCTCCTCCTCTTAATTGGCAAAGGTAACAAAAAATAATTAAAAAAATATGATGAAATGGAATGAACCGAAGATCGAAGAGAATGTGAGACATAATTTTTAATATTTATTCTAATAAATTATTTTTTTATATATTATATAATAACTCGAAAGATATCATCTTTTATATTAACCTAGAAGATAACATATTTCGAGTTTTTTAAACTATCCAATAGGATGCATGGGCGGTAGAAAGAGTCGACGATAAAAGAGTAAGAGACATATGGGGAGGAAAAAGAAATAGAGGTTAAAAACATAATTAAAGGGATTATGATTAATAAAATATTAATTTATTAATTTTTTAAGGGATTTTGAATAGTAAAAGAGCATAGTAAACTACTTTATTTTTCTTAAGTGGTACCGTGTTTCAAATAATATCCACGATATCCTTCGTCAACTCTGGTATTTTTTCATCCTTTATAATGTTTTGACAACATTATAAAGTTTTTTTGAAAACACAATAAAAATGATACAAATTGACTCATAATCTCAACTAAATCAACTTTAAATCTAAAAATTTGATACCATAATGATACGTGAGCAATGACAATCAAAGAAACACAATAAAATGTTATTTATAATGTTTTTAGCACCTCATTAAAATATTATTTGAAAACATAATAAATGATACAAATTGACTCATAATCCCAACTAAATCAACTTCAAATCTAAAAATTTGATACCATAATGATATGTGAGCAATGACAATTAAAGAGACGATGTTATTTACAATGTTTTTAGCAATTTATTAAAATATTATAACACTATTAGAAAATATTATACGTGAACCAAATGAAATCAAAATATACTAGAATCTATTTGATATATCATACTAGGATTCAAATAGATATTTATAATAACATACAAATAACATAACCCAAATAATGATCAAAATTAGCTTGTTATAGTGTTTTGACAATCACAATAAAACATACTTAAAAATACTGTAAATGATTTAAATAGACTCCAAACCTCAACAAAACCAACTATAAGCCTAAAAATATGTTATTATAATAATCTACAAGTAATGATAATCAAAGATATATAATATGATGTTATTTTTCAATAGCTTCATAATATTTTTAGCACCTCAATAAAATCATTGTAATGTTATTGAAAAACACTAAGTCAAATAAAAACACTATAACGATTCAAAACCAATGAAAAAATTAAGAGAAAAAATATCATTGGAGTTGGTAAGAGGTATTTGAGGTATTATTCAAATTAGAGGCACCATTTAGAAAAAATCAAAACAGAGGATGCCCTTTAAAAAAAAATAAAAAATAAAGATTTTTCGAAAGAAATCGCCCTATATAATACAGTATAAGTATTTGGAGGGTTATTTTATATATGTTATATTAAATTTGAAAGTGGTGAATATACTATTTGGCAATTTACCTAAAAAGGCTCCTAATAATAGAGTTTTATGAGATAGCATATCTATCTTTCGGTTTTAACAAAAGTACCCTTTTATTTAAAATATCAAAAATATTTTAAAATCGAGGACCCTTTTTATTGAATCGAGTTACCTAATTCAAACCAATCGATCTAAGGACTAGGTTGGTTTGGTCGGGGTCGTAGTCTGAGTCAAATCCTACGAAATAAATTGGGTCAAATTTGAATCAAAAGGCAAAAGGGGTTTTACAAGCATTACATTGAACGAATATAACATTAATGTAATTGATAGCTAGCCTTCCTCTTCTCTCCTCTACTCCTCTATGACAACAACATCCTTTCCTCTCTAATCGTTAGATGAACTCCTCTACTCTTTTCTGGTATTTTGCAAATGACGATGATATTATTAAATATCAGATTTTGATAATAAAATTAATTGATGAGTTTATGATCTAATCTGTATTTTGAGTGATGTAGGACTAACTTTGATTAGAAAAGGTATATCAATTAAATTAAGAAGAATCGGATGTTGAGCCAGAGTGAACATGTTAAAAGATTAGATGTTAGCCGAAGGATTGATCAATGTGTTGGTAGAAGGACTTTGTGCTGTGAGTTTGGGTATCGGATCGGAGGATCAGACATTATGCTAAGGAGATCGAAAATTGCGAGAGGTCAACATGCTGATTGGGTAATACGCCGAAGGAGAGGACGATGCGCTAAAGGATCGGACGAAGCGTCAGATGAACCAATAACATGTCGAACAACATAGAATTCTAGTCTTGTAATCAATTATCTTAATTGGTCATAGTTTGATCGTAATTGAGTTAGTTTTGAATGTAAACATGTCAACTTAATTAGGGCCCATTGGGCCTAGGTTGGGCTTGTTTTGGGCCAAGTGGAAGACACATTCAGTCACCCAAGGTTGGTGGAATCACCTATAAGTTGGAAAAGTCAAGAGCATACTTTTTCAAGCTGTCAGGTGATGGTATTTCCAGACTGGGTGGTGGTACCGCCCAGACACAATCTCTCAAACTATGTCAAGCAATAATATTACCAGTCTAAGCAATGGTACCACCTAGTATCAAGTGGTGGTACCATTAGATTAGGCAATGGTACCCCCTAGTATTAGTGTTGTAGGCGGTGGTATCACCCAGCATAAGCGGTGGTACCGCTAGTACTCCGAAATCTCGAGGATTTAAATTTTGACTCTAATTTTTAAAGTCATTTGGGGTTTATAAATACCTCAAATTTTTCTGCTTAAAGTAACATGAAAGGTAGAACAAAACTCTATGATTCTAAGGTTATAAACCCTGTTAGAAAATTGAGTTCCCTCCTCCATGTGCTTAGAAGTTGTTCTAAGGGAGAGTGTGAGGGAATACTTGTAATAGAGGGGTGTAAATGTTATCTCCTGAACTTGTGAAAATGAAAAAGAGTTATAAGGATAGTTGATCTTCACATATTGAAAGAAGATCGGTAGTGAAAGTCGGTAGCCTCGAGTGAAGAGAAATCGGTAGTGAATATAGGTTGGGATAATCAAACCACTATAAATCCAGTTTGCACCTTTTTCTACATTTCATTGCTATTATATTTTAAGTTAATTGCTCAGTTCACTTACTCTAACTCAAGCATGCTATTATTATATTTTTCGTTGAACAAAGTTTTCAAATCTATATGATTTTACGAAAGCACTAATTCACCCCCCTCTTAGTGTTGATTTCGATCCTAACAAACATCCTTTCCTTTCTAACAATGGCAAACTCCTCTACTCCTCTTCGATAACGAATGGCAATGGTGAACTCCTCTACTCTTCTCTGGTATTCATAAATGATGATGCATCCTCCCCTCTTCAGATGTGGCAAACTCCTCTACTCTTCTTTGATGACGAACTCCTATGCTTGTCTCTAGTGGCGATAAAAACCCCTATGCTCCTCTTTAACAATGAATGTCAGTAATGAACTCCTATACTTCTCTTTGATACCACCACTTTGATACCAATTTTAGGGTATTGAATTGTCCAAATAGGTGAGTGTGATTGAATTGAGTGCAGCCTGAGTATATTTTTAGTAATTTTTTCAAACATACTAAAACTTCTCTATAACAATCATAACATAATTCAATATATTTAGTATCTTTTTTAATTTATTTTTATTTTTAGATGATTTAAAAATTAATTTTTAAAAAGAGTATTATAGGTTTAACCTATGATATCACCCAAGGTCAGTAGAGTACTAGTTTGGAGCGAGACCACCACTTGTCTGGTAGTACCACTACTACCAAGTAGTATTATATTGAGTGGTCTAAAATAAAAATGTGATAGAATGTAACTCGAGTTACAATAAACATAACTGATCAAAACTTATTTGAAAACTAATACGATATGATTCTAAATTGATTACTATTATTTTTTAATTTTTTTTATGATTTTAGTGTAACTAATAAATTTTGGCATGTGATGATCCTAAAATTATTTGAAAACAAAACATATCTCAACAAAAAAATTATCCTAAAATCCTCTTTGCAAATATTATCAAAAACAAAATACAACAATGATGGTAACATTAATTGTAAAGTGATAACTTCAAATTTAAAATTATAATAAGTTTAGAATGTCTTACTGTATACTTGTGAAAAATTTGTATATATATATATTTATATAGGTATACTATCCCTGTAATAAGTAGGTTATTCGAAATTAATAATATCAAACTACAAAGATGTATTCATTTAATACTATATATATTTTTTATTATTACAGTGAACAATTCATGTTGCGATAGATCGATGCAACCAATGCTTCAACAACACTGCATAGGACAATGTCAAGACTTTTACGACATTACAAATGTTTCATCAGTATTATGGTAAGTCTGAAACTGCATAAAAAGTTACATGAGGATATGACAATGAACCATTGATTTGCCATTACCAACGTCGTCATCGAGACCCGCCTTCCTCTCTTATCCGACGATGCCTACCTACTACCACTTTAGATGACTAAGGGTCGTGGTATCCTTACTTTTTATTGGCTATAACGATAGCAAAAGACTAACCATCATCGGTAAAAAGATTGGCAATGACTATCTTCTTCTACTTGCACTAGAAGAATGGGGTGGTGGAGATGATTTAAAATTTTATTAAATCGATCTAGTTCAATAAAACCTGATCTGAATAATAAATCTAAATTCATCAAACTGGTTCAATCTAAAAAACCATAGTCAACAAACATCGGATATTTTTTTTAATTTTATAAAAAAAGGTACCAGCATGCTAAAAATGAAAGATGAGACGTCATCCCATAAAATCTCATTATTATAAAGGTTTTTTAGGCAAATTACCTTATAGTATTTATCAAACTTTAAAAAGAACAAATTATGTACAAGCCCCCCAACATAAATCAGCCAACTGTTCTTCTACTGTCATTATTCAATCGTTGTTGACTCGAGAGGAATTAAAAGTTATATTCTGTCCCATCCTTCTCTGCCTAATTCATGCGGCGCTTTTGAACCGGTCCAGTTTTTCTAGATGTGGCCAATGGCAAACTAATAGGCCTACAATGACCAATTCAGCCCCATCATCATTCCTATTACACTCTTTTGTTTTTGACCGTGGAAAACACGGCAGGCACATCGTCAACGGCAACAAGAAGGCAGCACAATAGCTTGTCACAAGTCGCAGAATACGTCCCACCAATGCTGACAATAATAAATGACAATTTGCATCATCATCATCATCATCATCATTTCATAAATCTTTGAATGTTTCGTAAGTCTAAATCCACATTATGAGAATCGAGAGGGTCTTCTATTCCTGCTGCTTCACAATTTCAGACGTTATCCGGAAGAAATGCTGACTACTATTGTTTTTATTATAATAATTAATTCATCAGATTTTTGTTTCTGCAATAAGCATTTGACCAATTAGTCTTATTGTTGATGTTCCTCTTTGTTTTCCACCGTGTCTTAAATAAAGACCATATGCTACTAAAACTCTTAATACAACAATATTATCAATCACTAGTTCAAATTACATCCACAAATCGTAGCTGTTCCAAAGATCAATTATTGGGGTCCAAACGTACTCATCATCATATTAAGGCTTTAGGCTTCATTTAAGAACATGCATACACGTAGCGGTTTATTTAACTTGATACTTAAATGGTTCTTGGCATGATGGGAGGGAGAGCTTTGTTTCCTCCTTCGCTCCAAGCGTTGGATCCTACTTTAGTTGCTCAGCCCTTCACCGAAAAAGCAAAGAGAGAGAGAGAGAGAGAGAGATAGCAGTCAAAACATTTGTTTAGTTGTTCATAAGTTTCCATCTTCAAATCAAATTTTATTTTTAACACTTGTTTTCTTCTTCAAAGCTCATACGCTATATTGCAAATAAAATAATTAGCAACTCAACTTAATTCAGCTGATGAGAAATCAACTCCTCATCAAAGAGAGGGTTGATTAACCTAAAAGGAGAAGAAATTGGGTCACGTATCCCAAAACCAAAGTCAATATGGAGTGCCATATAATTATCATTCTTTCATCTTCTTTGAATTGCGAGGAAACTGAGGACTTGTTATTGTTGTCGCTTATTTTAACATGCCATTCGATCAAATCTTACTTTTACATCCTCATTTCTAATCATTTCATTGTTTCAATATATTATTTAATTTTATCATCATAAACTAACCATTGTTCGTAAACTTTCATGATTATTTCTTACCCCATTGTGGTGGTTTATATGTTTAAGGGTCGATTGATGTTGTGTCAGGTGAGAATTAGCAAACGAGAAATGAATGTCAAAACATTAATCAGAGCTAAATCACTTCATTTGGTAATACACTTCAAGAAAAAACGAGAAAAATACAAGGACACAACATTTCTCAAAAGCAACCACTCTAGAAAGATGGAAGTCCGAGGAACACTCATCGCATCAAATTCTTCTAGCATAACTCTTAAAAGGAAAACTAAATTAGAAAGATGAAGCTACATGCAAATGCAACTGGCCGCTATGCTCCATTTCCTCTAGATTGCAAGTTTGATCATAGGAATTGAACTAGACCCTAGTTTTGTATCCGTTACCGAAGGTCAGGCTGCACAAACAACTCGGGAAAAGAGGCATTCTGATAAGTAGGCAAGTTCAGAGGGTGGTCCACATTCATGGAAGTGCCTACCGGCTTTTTTGAGTCTCTCTCCATCACACAGTTCCCGTCGAGTTCTGATCCATGTTGGATTGCAATGGCCTGCTGGATCTCCTTGAGCACTTCTGATATCGATGGCCTTTGCGCTCCATGTGGTTTGACACACATGATAGCTATCTCCGCAATTTTCCACACAGATTGTAAGTCGTAATCATCCTGCAATGCGGGATCGACAACAGCCTCGACGTTACCACTCTCGATGAACGATTTTGCCTGCCATATGAAGATTCAGTGATCAGATAACAACATGGTGATGTTTCATTCTGGTCAAAACGTACAGGACAACTTTTTGCAGCAATGAACTATGAACTGACCCATGCAACAATGTTACGGCAGTTGAGGCCAAAGCTTTCACTAGATATCGGCTCTTGACCTGAAATCAGCTCCAGAAGTATAACACCAAAACTGTAAATATCACTCTTCTCCGTCAGTTGCTGAGATACATAGTACCTGTGCATGTTTCACACTAATCAATCTGGAATTGCTGACACTATTTTGCAAGATATGAAACTCAAAACAGAAAGAAAAATGAATTAAAGAGTTCTTTGCAACATTATGATTTCAGGCAGCAACCAAAATTGATTTCATAAGCATCTGAGATAACCATAAACGAAATAAAAATGTCTTACTCGGGGTCCAAATATCCAACAGTCCCCCGAACCATGCTTGAGACATGGGAACCATCCACTGCATGTTTAGAAAGACCAAAATCAGATACTTTAGCTCTTATGTGATTGTCGAGGAGAATGTTGCTGCTCTTAAGATCCCTATGGATAATGGTAGGAAAGCAGCCCGTGTGGAGATACTCGATGCCTGAAAAGATTCGAGATAAGTGGTCATGTTAACTTCAGTCTTTTAAAACTAAAATTATGCATTGAAATAGTGTTCTCGCGATTCAACCTTTTGCAGCATCCTCTGCAATCTCAAGACGATTGATCCAACTAATAGTTCTTTCTCGAGCTGAGGGGCCTGCAATGTTTCCAAATAAGAGGTCCGGTATAGACATTTATCCAGAAACAAATATATGACTTACCACGAAGATGCTCTTTCAAGGTTCCATTGTGCATAAATTCATACACAAGGATGTTTTTCCCATCCTGTTGACTGTAACCAAGAAAAGTTACGAGGTTCCTGTGATGGATTCTTGAAAGCAATGTGACCTGAAAGAATCATGTTAGTCACTATACTGATGATAGGAAAAGAAATTTTTAGTATTGATGAAACAAAAATAAAAGGCAAAGTAATTAACATTACACGGACAAATGTGATGCTAGTAGTGGCTAAGACATCTTAGGGAGAAGAAAAGTAGAACTGCAACTTTGATCTGGAAAGTGAGCTGATATCCACCAATAAAGTTGAAGTCGAAATGCTGTTTTACAGCAACATAAAACAATTTGGGAAGCAAATGGGAGTCCTAATCCCACTAGAACTACATCAAAGACAGGAAAGCCACACACATTTCTGACATGAATAGTCTTGCCAAGGGATAGTATTGTAGCAGTACTATAGCATATTTTGTGGATGATGCTATAGTAGCAATTTAAAATGCTATTCTCAACATATTACATATCATAAATAAGAAATCATAGATTAGGTTAGACACCCAGTTGAATAAGAGAATTTGGCATTAGCAACCCTATAAATAAACATGAATGTAACCCTAAGTTTTGTGTTTGGGACTATTGCTTTTTCCCTACTAGCATGAATAAAGTAGAAGAGGTAATAGTAAACCTAGTTTATCGTTTTCTTTGGACGCTTCTACATTTCAAATGAGATAATGCTTGTTAGACACATACAGGGAGATATCTACAACCAAACGACAACTAGATTTCAGTAAATTGAAATCCTTTTTATAAAGTACAAAACCTTGAATTGAAACATACCGTGATAACGTAGGTACATTTACCTCGTTCAAGAATTCCCGGATTCCTTGGAATGAATCATTGGTAAGAACCTTGACTGCAATTTCTTTTCCATCTGCCAACTTCCCATAATAAACTATCCCAAAACCTCCGGAACCAATTTTCTTTTCAAATTTACTGGTGGCACCTTCTATTTCAGACAAAGCAAACCTATGGGCTGATTCTGCAGAAACTTCACTGAAGAAAGTACTCAATTTTTGAGCTGGTTGAACACTGTTGGCATTCTCTGGAGGATGGAAAAGTATTCAGGGTCATGGTCCTTTAAAACATCTACAAAGAACTTCCAAGCATACCTTTTGAAAAATTCTTCCTTGTTTTGTTTAAGAACAAGTAGCATAAGATAGAAATTACAAGCAGCAAGCTAGCTCCAAGGACAGAACATATGATGAGTACCATGCGATTCACATTTTTCTTCCCTTCATGTAGACCTTCATTTCCTGAATAGCTAAACACAAACAAAACAATACCCCTTTTGAAGTTCACTACTAGTAAAGATAAATGGTTGATATGAAAAAGAAAAAGAGAAGATTAAACTTATGTGCAATGTCTGATTACACACATTTCCGAAGGAAAAAAAAAACTATAATCACCAATAATTTTCCAACTTAACATAAATTAACTACTATAAATAATATATTACTTTACTTAAATTATTAATTTCCTTGTTTGCGTAGTATGGTTAAGGAAATGATTAAAATTAATTTTCTTAATCATGTGGACATGTTAAAAATTTTGCCAATCAATTAAATTATTAATTGATTTATTTCCTAATGAGTGGTGTGATTTTTAGGAAGTAAATACTTTATATATATTTTTGTGTAAACCATAAGAAATGAATATTATATTTCTATATTTGTGTGTGAAAACAAAATAAAAATAATTAAAAATAAAAAATAAAAAATTAAATAATTACTTATCTTTCAGGCGATGGGAGGATTGAAGAGAGGATTCCCCGAAGAGATGATCCCCGAGGAGAGGTAGTATCCTCTATTCTTTTCTAATAAGCTTTGATTCATGTCTTAAGATCTTTGATATTAGGATTATTATAATTTTATGATGCATAATAATGTTTTAATTTTTAAATTTTATGATTAATAAATAATGATAATTGATTTGTAATGTTAGAATGATTATTGACTAATAATGATCACTTAAGCTTCAATGAATTTCAAGATTAATTTAATTATTAAAATTATTATTTTTGAATTAACATAATAGTTTTAATTTATTTAATTAGATGTATCTGTGTTTCAAGAATTATATATGAATTTCTATGAATTTAATTAGTTTTAAATTTAAGATTATGAATTTAAATTTCTTAATTCAGTGAATTGGTGTTTGACCTGAGTTAGATTGATCTATAAGATCGGGTTGACCCAGCCCTTATGGCAAGGTACTACCCGAACCATGTGATTAGGCAAGACCCAACCCATGTGACCATATACGACCCAACCCATGTGGCCAGGCATAACCCAGCCCATGTGACCATGTATGATCTAGTCATGTGGCCAAGTAGGAGCTAGCATGGTCCAACTCATATAGCCAGGTACGACCCAGTCCATGTGATCAGACATGACCCTAACTTGTGTCTAGGGACGACCTAACCCACAAGCTAAGCGTGGCTCGGTTCAGTGGTAAGGTTCAGCTTAGTCTACGAAGTTAGGCCCGCCTAGCTATGCAATTGGTGCTAAACACATTGTTGTTCCTCTATCCAACTCGTTATATCTTAGCCCAACCTATTACTTAGGACAGGCACATGCGACACATGTGACCCGTCTAAGACTCTAGTGGGTCGATTCGGTTTAGGCTAACACTATACGACATAGTCTAATTTCCTTTCCCTTTGGTTTGAGCTTATTAATTGACTGAATTAGATAGGTTTGATCAGTTCAAGACGGTTTAAGGTGATTCTAGACCAACTTAACTAGTTCAACCTACTCGACCTAATCAAAATCAATCAAATCTAAATTAAACTAGTCTAGGATGATTCAAACTGATTTTATAAGGATTTGAGGTTGATTCTATTATATCATAATTGAATTGAGTTTGGTTCAAGTCAATTGGGCTATTCCAATTAGGGTTCTGATTGATTGAGGACTATTGAGATATTGATGTCTTACGTTGTGATAATTTATTTCATCTAAAAGTGTCATTTAAAAATGATTATTGATTTTTTATATTTTTTAAGTTTATGATATTGATATGATTATTACCATATAGTATATGTAACTATGTTAGTGGTTCACATTGGAAGTGTAACTTGTGAAATGAGCTATAAGCCCATCATCGTGTGAAGCTATCAATGAACATAGTCTAGTAGATCATACATCAAGCATGGTCCCTCATAATATTTTATCATACTATTTCTTGAATGCATATATGAATGAATGGATGAATGTAAATAAATGATCATAGTTGCTTATGTATCCCTACCGAAGGCAAGTAGGGCGATTTCTCTTCGAGGATTAGCGGGTCGTCAGATGTAACAGTTAGACGATTCCTCCATCTGCTATTGGGAGGAACATATCCTCACTTGGGCAGGTGAGAGATACCACTCTACCCACTTTCAGAAGAAATCAATCCCGTGGAGTATATCCCTCAATCCGTTATTGGGAGAGTGCACATTCGGGTATGATGTACTCCTTTATTATTTAACTATTATGTATGTGTTGCATGTGGCTAATGCATGATTTTGTTTATTATACAAGAATTATCATTGTTTTTCTAATGCATAAGTTTTATAATGAATCAATATATTATCATTTAATATTAAATTATTGACATTTGTATATATTTCACGAATATTAAAAGTTATTATTATGTTTTTTCATAGGTTCCTGCCAATATATGTGGTTGCTAATATGTTTTTATCTTATATTTATTTTTTAAGTAATCTACTACTTTATAATAGATCTAAGGCTTGGGTGAAAGAAACTTTTTTTTATTATTTGTGGTTCTATCAAGAAGATGTGATCCTTTTTCTAGTTAATAAAATATTTACTATTGTAAAGACAAGGATTTAAATTCAAAGATGAAAAAAAAAGGAGTGTCTTTTGTAAATTATGAATAATAAAATGATGATTTATTATTTTTTATAAATTTGGGATGTGACAAAAACTATCATGAATGATGTCTCGATATTAAAAAAAGAATTGAGCAAGCAATTCAGGTACATGAACATATAACATCCCAAATATTTAGAATAAGCTATATGAATTTATTTTCAATTGTTGAGCCCTCAATATAGGATAATATTCTTAGATAAATTAAGAGCAATTAAATTTTTTTTTATTATTTTAGTTTAAACTTTAGGGCTCCCTTCACCTCTCATAGAATAACTAATTTTAACTAATTTATTTAATCTAATTAAGGCATCTACCGATCCCTTTGAATATAAAAATATTACCATAAATAATTTTCTCACATTTTATTGATGCACATAATTGTCCAACAAAGGAAACATATATTCTATGTTCCCTTGTTACTGACACATCCACCTCAACTTTCTATTCTTGGCTAAACTAATTTTTTTCCAAGAGTTTTCTTGTTGACTAATAGTTGGTCCATAAAACGCTAGCTTTACAATGGTCTTACAAAATTTTTCATTCATTTAATAAATACACAACAACCTTCTCCACATTAATTACTCTGCTTTAATTTCATTTAACAATGTCTTCACTACTCTTTTTGTCTAATCAAAATTAGGCAGCCAATGACAATATGATCAAAATCAGCAAAATAAAGTAATTAAAAATTCAGAAACTAAAAAAATATAATTAAAAGACTAAATATTAGAAAATATTTTTAAAAATAAAATAAGTAATGTAGAGGAAATTTTTATATTATTTCTGTACAATACCATATATTTTAAGTTTCAGTAAAAGCAATATTCATTTATATTACAAGATATAATTTATTAACTATATATTCATATAGAGATGCACTATCATATTTTCATAAATTATAACTTAAAACCAAAAACTTCAATTTTTTACTTAACTCGAGATGACATGAGAATGGAGAATGAGCAAAGACACAAGCAATGAATAAATTGCAAGCAAGTCATGAGGGATTTGTGAGCCAACATCAATCTGATCATGAGTAGAAGCCAGCAATGAGGTAAGTTCCGTCGGTCTCCCTCCAATTCTTCACATCCTCCAATCTCTCCTTCCATATCCTCTCTTCCTTGTCTTTCTCTTTTTTCTTTCTACTATTTCCCCTTCTTTCCCATTTCATGGTTGATCATGCGAGTATAAAACAAAATTGATACTCAAAATGAGTTATCTCATTTCTTTTCCTTCTTTCAATCACTCTTTACAAGATTTTCATAATATGACATTAACTTAATTTCTTTATAGTTAGAGCAATCTTAAATATCACCCTCGTTCTTGTATATGGATACCCAAAATCTTTTCCTCTCTTCATCAAACATATTTTTACTTCTCAATTTTTGTCAAATAAACTAGTCAATGAAACAATCACATGGTCTCCTAAATTCTTTCAAATCTCAGTAAGGATATCACTAAGTTCTACCATCTTATATCAAATTGGTAATCTGAAAACAAATGGTAGAACCTTACATATATTTCACCACATCAATATACCAATGCTGTGGGTTGCTTTCAGGCAACCTCTTCATCCACCTTTTGTACCTTTGGACATCTGGGAGGTGAAAATGCCTCGCATTACTTTTAGGTGACAGTATGATCCTATAATGAAATCAGTCAAGATCTACCTTTATTCCTTGTATAAAATTAAAATAGATTTTTTCTTCTACCCTTTCCATCTAAACTCAACTAGATTTTTATAAAAGAGATCTGAATAACTATAGCATTGACCAAAGTACCATGAACAGGGACAATCAAACCATTATAAAGAACAGTTGTGTAAATGATGTTAAGCAAAAATTGTGTCTAAATACTTCCTCTACTTGAGGAATTTGCAAGTTTCTGAGTTAATCTGAAGAAGTGCAACAAGGTTAAGATGCAGGATGTGCATCGGAACTCTAAATATAATTGTATAGGTTAGAACCCTTCAAACATAATGAATGAAGGCCAGAAAAAAGCTAACATATTAAAAGAAAGAGAGAAAGTAGGGTGTTCTCATTGATGTTATGGTTAGCTAGATTAATCTTCAATAATTATGTTTCATCTTAGGATAGCTAATTAGTATGCACACATATTCTCAATCCCATATTATTAAAATAAACTCAAGTACTAGCGCTAAATAGCCTATGAAGAGGAAGTGATACTCACTTGAGAAAAATATTTTTATGTAGGAGCCCCTTTGGAACTACTCCACTCAACTTATTATTCTGCAAGTACCTATAAAATCAAAATTTGCAAATGAGTTAATTTGTATAAATAACATATGTAGTGGTGCATGTGACAGAGATCTAAGCTTTTGGGATCAATAAAAGAGTAGCATTTATTAGTTGTCTGGTAGAAAAAAAAACTAGCTTAATTTCGTGACATGAAAAATGCAGGTAATACCTTGAACTTTCTGGTAAAATAGATACAAAGATGAGCTGCAATTTCTAGATTACTATATTAAATTTAAGTAACAATATCAGGAGCTATAAAACTTACAATTCTCTTAGACTTGGCAGATCTCCCAGTGACGAAGGAAGGACACCGGTCAATTCATTGTTCTCAAGATGACTATATGAAACATAAAACAATTATTTCTTCAAGCATATGGAAAAGCTAAAGGACATTATTACCAAGATGATTGCCTCCTTACATGGTCTTTAGATTTAAGCATTCACTAAAGTCAGGTATTGTACCAGAAAGTGAATTTTCATCAAGCCATCTGCAGTAATCAGCTGCTTCAGTTTTATAATATGAGAAATATTCAACTTATTGAGATAAGAAAGTTTCCAAAGGCAAACAATTAAGAGAAGAAAAGATCCAGCTCTTACAGTTCAACCAAGCCTGTTAACTTAGTCAGCTCTAAAGGAAAGTTTCCTGTCAAATTCTTCCCAGATAAATTACTGCCAAACAGCAATACATTTACGAGTTAACTAAAGATTCAAGAAGTGAGAAGATTAGACACTAGAAACTTGAAGAGAGTTTTAGACATAGGAGCATCACTAAGAAATCTGTACCAACTCATAATTTCAGTACATGGAAACTATAGTCGGTTGTGGATCTGAACTACATTGCAACCAAGACCATGGTACTGGTAGACATGGGTCACCACCTTCTTTTGCCCAATCTGCTAGTGGATAATGAGAGATGAGACTGGCCATGACAGTTGCTGCAGACTCATGAAACCAATATATCTAGAATCAAATATTTATGCAAAAGCACATGCAAAATAGCTAAATTCAATAGAAGGAACAATTACCATCCCGAGATCCATAATTTATTTCGAGGTACTTATAAATTTCTAGGGCATTTAAGATAGGTCCTCTAGATGAATCATTTGTCTTCTTAAAAGCAAAAGAGAATACAAATGGAAAGGAGACATTGGTGTATCCAGGTTCATACAATCGGTATTTTCCCTGAGCATTTTCTTGAACATTCACAGTGGGTTTACTAAATTCTGGCAAGCCTGGAATTATTAGCTTAAACTTTCTGGTTTCATTTGAACCAAAATCTTCAATTTCTGCAAAGTATGAGAACGCCCAACCATTCCCCGGAAAGCCATCCAGATCAAGACGATAAGTTAAGGATCCATTTCGACCCAGTACTGCTGTCTGCATGACCTTTTCAGGTGGTCTTTCACCACTACTAACATCAACTGGCATATCAGTTGATATTGTTTCAGTTCCAGGAGCAACATCAACAAGGTAATTTGGCCTCCTAACAGTATCAGATTCCCATATTCTATCAAATGGATCATCAGGATATCTGCAAGAATAATGAAGAGATCGATTAAGACAAATCCAAGCAGAAAAATTTAACCTTATAGATACTGAAAGACAAGCATATGGAACTTGAGATTAAATTGAAAAATACATGCAAGAATAAAAAATCATAAAAGATAAAGGTAACAGTGTATGATGTTAGGTGCGTAGACATTATCCTTTAATTTTGACCTTAATTTCCAACTATTACTTAACTACCTAGGAGAGATTGTGATTCTTATAACCAAGGCTTCCACCATCATAAATTTTATCAAGGCTGCAAGATTGAATATATGATGGAATGGCAGAAAATCGAGAGTCTGATATCCCCTTTGTTTATCTTCATTTTAACTAATGCAATTTACTAAAATCATATGACTAGTCCAAAGAGAATTTGTCCCCTGTAATTCAACATAGTTGCTATAAGCACTGAAGCAGATCTAAGTTTTTGTTAGTCAACTTTCTGTTCACTTTATCTAACCATCTGGATCCTCAGCCAGTCATCCTGATAGTCAGTCATACCTACAATTCAAATTTCACCATTTTAATAAAATTTTGAACTTATTTTTATTTTTTGCAGAAACATTGTGTCCACCCTACAAGAAAAATGTTGACATACATGAAATTGTAAATTACAAATATCAACTGACAGCAATAAATATTTTTTTTCTTCTTGGGCGCTTCTTGTAGATCCATCTTTCAAAAATTTGAAAAAAATATTGTTAAAGGATATGATGTATAATCTATAAAATTCATTGTTCCCTTACAATATCAAACTCCTGTTGTCTCCTTGCCAAATCATCCATTCAATTAACATCAAACTCTCTTGTGTGGCACTATGAAACATCTAATTAGTAATCTAAAATAAATTGGGTATTTGATGTTTCCTAGAAAGTACAATTTCAAGTGCAACAACATTACTAAGTGATCCAGGACGATGTAGCTGAGTTCGAGTCGAACTCTAATTTGGCTCAACCAGCATTCAAGTCGAACTCGAAATCATTCCCAATCCAACCGAACCAAGCTCAAGCTTGAATCCGAGCTCAAGGATCATATTCAAGTCAATTCAAGTCTCACTCAAGTTCCGCTTAACCCGAGTATGATTCAAACTCCAATTCAGCTCAATCGGGACTTCGACTCAAACTCCAATTCAATGTTGGAACCAACTCGAGCTCAATTTCAAGCCCAGAAGTCGGATTTGATCAGCTCCAACCTCGGGAAGATTTAACTCGAGTTCCATTCGGATTGGAAGAGTAGGTGGCCAAATTGAGGAAGAGAGCTAGGGGCACCAGCCCTAGCAAGGTAGAGTCCTAACCTAGTTAGGGATCTAGGACTAGGAAGAAAGAGTCCTAATCTAGTTATGGCTCCACCTGTAGAAGCACTAGGAAGAGGGAGTGTTGTTAGGAAAAAACCTGTTAAAGCGGAATATTCATTTCTCTCTTTGTGTATCAAAATGGGTTCCTCATCAAAATACCAACTTGATATCTAAATGAAAATATCAACCAGCACAGCATAAACAATAGAGCAAAAATCAATCACACAGTGAGACCAAATCTTTTTAACGTGGAAAACCCAATATGGGAAAATTCACGGGACCGTAGTCCACCTCAAACTTCCACTATCAATAGTAATGATAACAGGTTTACAGTAGGTCTTCTCTATAATAACTAGAGGATCAGAATAATATCAAGATCATAGATCTTGGCTCAAGAATAGCATATATTCATCACATAAGATAGATCTCCTCGTAAGAAAATTCTAGGTCTCACAAAGTGGATATAACAGAAAAGTAATTAGAGAGGGTAAACTACAGATCAACACCATTAGGATTGTAGAGTTTGCTACAAGGATTCTCCATATAAAATTTTGGCCGAAACTGACAACGTTTGGCCACCGATCGTCAAGCAGAAAACTCAGAAACCTAATTTTTCTCTCTCTATTTCTCTCTCCTCTTTTCTCTGCACGCCGCCGCACGCTGCACTGTGCACCTACACACACGCACGCTGCCTTCTCTCATTTTTGCCCTTTCTCTCTTTCTCTCTTTAATTTCTTTGATTTGGGCACAAACGGCCCAATTTGTCCAAGCCCACATATGGGCTGGACCCAACAAGTGCTAACCTAGCTAGGACTCCATCCCTCCATCAATTAAACATGGGGGTGCACAGCCCCTTCAGCTCATCGAGTCCCAGCAGTCCTAGGCAAAGTCCTAGCCGAAGAGAGGAGAGTAAAGAAGGTAAGAAGTCAGCAATCAGCAGCCTACTTCTTACGGCCTGCGGCAACACCTATGCTGCAGAGATTCTTCCAAAAATCTGTCGTCCCTAACAGCTTTCAAAGGAGCCTTTGACAGCAGCAAGGAGAGGAGAATAAAGCAGAAGGAGAAGAGAAAGAAAAAGAGAACCTGCGGCAGCTCTCCTTCAAGTTGCAGCCGACAGTAGTCCTTCCTTGCAGCAGAGCACGCCTTCTTGTACCACAAGTCCAGCAACTTCTTTCCCAAAGGGCAGCAGCTTCCAGCTGCTGCTACAACCCTCAGCAAACTCTGAAAGGGAAGTAGACAGCTGAGAAGAAAGGAAAAGAGAAAGGGAGAGCTCGGCAGCAAGTTCGCAGCCCGAACAGTCCACGCTTGTCGAGCGAGAAGTTCGAGGCTGTGTTTAGTTCCCTTACTTTTATTTCAAAGCAAAGTAGATGGATTTCCCTCTTGGATTTCTGTTTTCTGCAGCAAAAGACACAACTCCTCCACGAAGACATAAATCTGCTCGAGGGAAAGTTCAACATCATCGAATCCTTCCCCCATACGGATCACTAAGATTCCATCGGGACTAGTTACTTGTATGGTTCATTTAGAGTTCCATTAGCATCTCCACTGGGCAGTAGGCTTTCCACCCAGTATATAGCTCAGTACTGGTCAACTTACCACTTGTTACGCCCTATGATGAATTCATTGAGCATTAAAGCTCACGTTAAAATTGCATGATGTATGGACCAAGGTATGCAATATCGTACCATACCGGAGTTT